CCCCGCCCGCCCGTCGACCGCGGATTGTTTTTCTTCATCTTGGCTTTCGTTTCGCCACAAGGAACAAGAAGAAGGTGCGCAACTGCGTGAGGCGTTAGTCACCGCTGACAATCGCTACACGGGGAGAGCGGTGTGATTCCGCGCGGCCTTTGCACGAGACGGCCACTGCTCGTGTTAAATACCTGTTCAAACAGACGTTTGTGCGCACGCTTTGTATCGCTTGTTTGGCCATGTGTATTTGTACAAATATGTGAGTTGGGAGTGCTGTTTATTGCTACTGAATGTACACAACGACGGTGCGCGTTAATTTCCCAGAAACGCTTGGTCTAGCCCTACAAATGCTGGCCTTGGTTGCATGTGGGTACCTGCGGTGAGCAATTTCGTGCGAGAAGTTCACACTGCGGTCGAAGCGATGTAGCATGGTGTGTAGATGCGAACGTTTGCCATCCCCCCCGCCTCACCGCTACGATTTTCAAGCCCATCGCACCACCTATGGCTCGAACCACATACCGGTGTGCATCTTGCGTGCATGATGTCGAGAGACAAGACACACGAAGTACTCCCACAATGCTCGACATCACCCTTAGCGTGAGTGACCGCCTTCTGCACTGCCACGATAGTTTCCCCCAAGTGTTTTCGTGATGGAGACAGGAATGATGGAGAGGATTGATCATAGCGATGCCGTGTCCAGATCATCATGTTTCGGTGTTTTGCGAAACACACTACCCCACGCCAACCCCCCCGTCGAAGTGGGGCAAAAAGGCGAGGATTGACATCGATAGGATAGATTGGGTAGGGAACAACTTATGAGTCACCTTTGGCAGCATAGGAAGGAACGATTGGCCGTTGGTCATTGGTCCTCCTGTGGGAACAACGCTCCGTCCCCTCGAGGTAGCGTGGTCAATGCCCTAACAACTATGCAAAACATGAGGAGTACACCCCCATGCCCGCCCACCCCACCCCCTCCTCGTACACCGAACCAAGATCATGCTCACACTTTCTTTCTTTTCCTCTACGCATTGTTCGTCGTGCGCTCCCTTCCGTGAACATTTCGACGCAAAGAAGGCGGCCTTGTCGCGGTGGAGGCCGACCTGGCGGAAGTGCAGCGATGTGTCGCGCTTTCGCGCCGGCAGGGGGAAGACGCAACGGTGGGCGTCAAGTATCTGCGAAACGTCCTCAACCACCCAGACGACGCCAAGTACCGCACCCTTAAGATATCCAACAAGTGAGAGGGGTCTCATCGCCCACATGAGTGACCGTGAGCGTGAGATGGACAAAGACAATGATCGGGAGCAAAATATGAGCTGGCGTTCGTCCGCAATCTTTGCCTTTTTGTCACGCGCTTTTTTTGCTTCGTCAAGCGTGCGTGTACATGCCCGCAACTCAATGCTGTCGCCCAGTCATCATCACGTTCACTATATTTCCGCGACATCGTCCTTCGCCTTTAGATTGTTTTCGTCGCACGTTGCAGATAGATCGGTGACGTCACCACGAAGCTGGAAAAAAGTTCTTGTTGACGTTTGCCCTGGATTCTCAATGCCTCTGTGAGATTCAAGTAACAATGCTATCCGTCGGGCTCAGTGTCGATTTCTACACCGAGCAGACCAGTTAGTGCTCAAGTCGTGATACTATCCAAGAACGAGACCCCGATTGTTCACGCTACCACAGACGAAATTTGTGGACCTCTTCATCAAGTACAGCGATTAAAAAAGAACATGCTGAAGCGCTTTGTCTACGTCGAATCAAACGGCCTTTCTTCGAGATGTTCTGTGGTGGCGCTACCGTAACCCTACTGATCATAGCGTTCAATGCAGGAAGTCTACCAAATGCGGCATAGCCTTCCAACACAACCACAATAAGTGTGATAGATCGATTATGAAAGGGGTTATTGTTTTGAAGCCCGCATGCCACATGCATGAATGAAACGCACACGCGATTGATGACTAGGAAATTCTACACGGAGGTCTGGCTTAACAGCGGCATGAGAGGGCTTTTTCTGGCTCTCGGCTTCAGGAAGCGGAGCGGAGGAATCGTCGGACTGGACCCCCTTGCTCCGAACACGCTCGATTGCGTGGCAGTCGCTCTACAGGCGAGATGACACTCACTCACACAGAATATGTGAATAGCGGTGACTTGTTGTGTCGTATCAGAGACAATCCCTTTTGTTGCTTTGAACAGTACGGAAGAAGTATTAGGTGAGGTCAACACGGCTTCCATTAGAGGGGTGACACGGCGCCAACACGCTCTTCCAATCATCTTGTGGGATCAAATATTCGACTGCCGCTGCCAACAAACACCAGTAGAAGCCTGTATAATTGCTGCCTGAAATTCTTAACAATCGGTTGTTGGACCAACACAACAGGTACCTCGACACCTCGAAGAAAGAGTGCATTCATTGGTGGCGTCTTGACACTGCTTGCTCTCCTGGACGATTGCTTAGCGTCCGGCAGATTGGATGCATCTTATGTGCACAACAAGTAGTTGTGGTCGAAAAGTGGCAATGCTACTTCGAATACCTTAAGTCCAGACTTCTGGTACGTGTTAGGATATTTGATCACGCGTTAAGGTGTTTGATCGTGTCATGTCGTAAGTAACTACAGTACTTCGATGTATTCCGCGTAAGGCTCTTGTCTCCGTGTCCACTTGTGAGGACGGACATTCTCGCACCAACGACCACTTCGGCAACGAGCAGGTGTTCTTGACACGGCGGGTGGACTACGAAGTCACAAAAATCGACATAGTCGACATCTAAAGTGTGGAAGCGTGCTTTTCGCTCCTGAAGTTTGACTATTGATGTAGTGCGCGGCATGCCGTAAAGGTTCAACAGCAGCACGTGTGTTCCGACTTGACGGCAACCACAGGGGCTGGAAGCGGGTTAGGATGCAAGCCCTGCCACAACATGACGATGAAGACGACGACGACGACGACGATGATGACGACGACAGCGCGATCACTGCCTGCCCTGCAGGTGCTCCGACGGCGCTACCACGGCCTGGACCTCCCCCATCGATCCCTAGACTGATGGATTCACCTCACGGTCTTCTTTGTAAAAAAAATGATGTTGATGACATGTTTTTTTCCCCCTTTCTGACCCAGTTGAAACATGGTCCTGCTATATAAACCAACCCGAGACAACGCCAGTATGTTCACCAAAGCGGTGAGCATCCCTCTTTCGGCCCTCCCACGCCGCTCCGCAGGGAAGGTTTACCTCAATAGAGTGTTGGTGCGACATGCACTATCTATGCATACATACATGCGTGGTTCAAATACCGTAGATTGGATATTTAAAGCGTGTTCGCTCTGACGCCGGCCCGGTGCGTAGCTCCCACGCATCGAAGGCGGGTCGATCACATCTGCGTCGTCGGCGTAGTACACTGATTATAGTCTTCGGACAACTCACGGATCGGCAGTTCCGTGTGGCGGAGCGAGGTCTGAAGCGACTGAATCCATTCGATTTTGCAAAGCCTGGAATAGTGTAAAGTCGTGTGCATTGGCAAGTTGGCGCGAGGGTGCCTAGAAGAAATGAAGAACGAGATGAAAGTGACTTCACCACGATCGCTCCTTGTCTCGGTGTTCCCTGCATTGGCTTCTGCGTCTGGCCCCGTGGCTATACGCTCAGTTCTAGGTGGCGGGCAGCGACCAGGACCAGGCTCCTCTTGTACACTGAGAACGCTATAGTTGCCCGTGCGTTTGTGTTGCGGACATTTTTTCGTCCACGGTGTATTGACCTCTGATAAGTTTGAACACGGTGGTAGGCCTGTCCTCCATCGGCCGTTTTGCTTGTATGACGGAGAATAAGAAGGTGGAATTACTTGAAATTAGTATAGAATTAAAGTTTGTGTATCTAAATCGAAAATATAACGGCCGATGGAGGACAGGCCTACACGGTGGTGGGAAGTGAAAGCATGTAAGGAAGTAGCTTTTACCGTGCCCACCTCCCAGGTCTCGGCTTGTTGCACGACGTGAGGCAAGAGGGAGTTCACGCCAACATTAACAGGCAGGCGTCTTTGGTCATTCTTCGAATTCACCACAGGCGTTCCATCATTTCCCCCATTGTCGATGATGGCAAGCGATCTAGGTAGCTGTGGACTTAAGCAAATATCCCTTTTGTATTTTGCCGTTCTGTCCGTGAGACGGCAAACTGATGACACACTTGTCACCCCCCCAGGGCACTTGACTAATGCTTAAGTGCTCGAATCACCACAACGGGTGCGGTGCTACAAGTAAACAATTCAATGAGCAGAGATCCCCGCGTCAAAGAGCGAAACGCAAGCATCCTCGCCACAAGACAAGAACCCTTGTACGACAGCCCGCAGGTTGTGTAAACGAACGCAAGTCAAACTAGTACCCCTGGAGATTTCCTACGTAAAACACACAAAATCGACTTTGCACGTACCACTGAACATGAAAGAGGCACGCTCTGTCAAAAAGACACCTCGACATAACGCAGAGTCACGAAACCTCACAGTTCCCAACTTCAGGCCATATTCACGACAACCAAGCGAAAAGTACCATACACACGAGTCGGCAGCAAGCGATCTGAAGTGCACGATGACACACCACTGCTTGTGTTCGATCTGCCCATGAAACGAGAGACAAATATCAATGAATTCGACAACAAGAGAGTGAACAAAGACAAGGGACCATCATACGAGACAAAGACAAGAGAGGGGGTGGAAGGGGAACTCAAGTGAGGAACAGTTTAATCCACCGACACTCCCCGCTCCTCCGCCACCGCACGCGTGCATCGCCTGATGCACGGGTTGCAAACAAGCACAAAATCCAACAAGTAATCGACACTTCCTCCAGCGCACCGCTTACGATGGCAACAACGCCCTACACTCGATGAAAAAAGATAGTTCATGCATCCACTACTGCTGCTACAAGCCGGCGTCCCCATTTTCTCAGCCATTGTTGCTTGGGTGCTTCACCTCCTCATCCACCTTTCCCCACGAACACGCTCAACGTATTACAGCACTAGTGACAACACAAGAATTCTCCGAAGAACTAATTGGTAGAGCCCGCCCCGCCACGGTCTACAAGAACAGACAACGAACCGTTCTACACTCACTCCGTCGTACGCTCGTACGACTGATCGAACGATCGATATCCAACAACCACAACAAAACCCATGCCCTTGTAGAAAAACGCGGATACAGTGGTATGTACTGGTGTTCGCTTAGGAAACCGACACGAAGTACAGCCTCAATCTCCATCAGGCCTCGAAACGGACTCAGCACGCGCAATGGCTTCATCACTAGGATTCAGACACCCAACTCTCGTTCTCGGAGTGGTTTGGCGGAGACCCAAGACGTGCGAGCGAGCGACGACGACCCCCACAAGATCAAGGCAGACGAGGGAGTTCGCCCACCCGCTCTCTACTTTGATGACATACCACGCTGCCACGCCTTCAGGGCGTCTCTCAAGCCTTAGGGGTGCCCTTGGCCACGATCGGGATGCAGACCTTGGTCTTGAGCTTCTCGGGCGGGGTGTCCTTCGGGTCGTTCTCGTACAACTCGAACACGGGCATGCGCGACTCGTAACCCTTAGCCTCGACCCACTCGAAGGTCGCCTCGTAGCACTTCTTGAGCTCATCGTACGGCCCCGTGTGAAGCGTCGTAACGCACTTGCAGCCGCCGGCGGTCCTCACGCCGAGGCCGATGTCGTCTCCGTTCACGTCCTTCATCAGAGCGGAGGCGCCGCCGCCGGCCACCGAGGGCCCGCAGGTGAACTTGGTGGTCCCACCGGGGGAAGAATCCCAGGTGTAGTAGGCGGACGCGGGGGGGCCGGCCATGGCGAGCCCGGCAGCGGCGGCTCCCGCGAAGGCGGCGGGGAGCGTCTTGTTGATCTCTTCGCTTATGGCGGGACCGTTCGCGGCACTTGTGGACATCTGGGGGTCGGGTGGGGGGGTAGATTATTAGGACGGCAAACAGAATCCGCGAGTGGAGAAAGGAACACGAGCAAGGGCGGTGGATGAGGACAACAGCAACGATAACGACAACGGAAACGACAACAGGAACATGACTCCGTCTCACCGCTCCGTAACAGTACACGATAGGCATGTCCTCAACCACCCAGTTGTAGCGCCAGTTGTACTTGGCGCCGATCTCCATGTCCTTGGCCATGTCTTCGTTGGAAGGAGGAGGCCCCTCCTGTACCTCGCACAAGCCCCACGGTTGACCGAAGGGGTCGTGGCAGCGGCCCCACACTGAACGTCGACACCAAAACATGAACCCAAAACGCGGTAGAGCAAGGGCGCAAGGTCGTTGAGAGCACATCGTGTAGGGTTAGTGAAATATTGCCTCGGCTTGAGGTATCTCCGTAGATCGCCCCGCTGGCGGCCGATCGTATCGCGCCTTTCACGGCCGAGCACATACGTGCATCGTAAGAAGAACACAAGCAGCCACAAGCGATTGAAACCGAGACAAACACAAAGCGGTTTTATCTGGAAATATGTAGCATACATGAAGCCAGCATTCTAGCAAAGGCGCCACACCGTGCCAGCTATTCCTTTCGCATTGTCAAACCCTACCTGACGACGGCAGAGAAAGAGAGCACCAACATCCGTGTGCTGTGCAAACAAAATGACGCGCTGTACAGACCAAATCACAACAATAATCAATCGAGTATCGCACCCCTCCTCCTGATTGATTCCTCTCGGGCCCACCCACCTTGTCCCCAGAACTGCATCGACACCTCCTCGAGGACCTCCCCGCCGTTGTCCTTGAAGGACTTGGCCAGTGGTCCCGCTTCGTCCTTCCCGACCTCGTACGCGATGGTCATCGAGGCTTCCGTCTTGCTCGCGTCCTTGCTACAGTGGTCGCCGAGCATGATAATGCCGCCGTTGATCTTCATCTCCGCGCACATGATCTGGGTTCGTCGAGAAACATATTCAACAGAAGAAAACAAAGAACAACGCGTGCTTTCAGGCTGGCGGCCAGCGTCCGATCTTCGACGAGTCTTAAGCTGTAAATCAGCGAGAGAGAGACACGACCCGGGCGCCAGACTGGTCTCGATTGCTCGAGAGAATATACAAGCCGAACCAGGAGCACACCAGACATCGTTGAGAACAGCGGGCATATACAAGGAAACACCCCCCGCACGGGACTGTAAAAAAAGGGGCTCTGTGGAGGTCAGGATATGGAGATTCAGGGAGCACAGATACACGTACATAGAGAGAAGGATTTGAGCTCACCCAGAGTAGAGGGCTTCCATAGCTCGAGCGAATGTCTTTCTCCGTGAGTCACGTATGGCAATGCTATACACCTAGAGATGCGGTATAGCTTCGCTAGCACATCATTGATGTTGGTTTTAGTTAGGGTTACAGGTTTGGGATAGGTAAAGGGTTACGAACTCTCTCTCTATTTCACAAAGTACGCTGAATATCCTCGAGAAGGCGTCCTGAGACACCCATTACTACAGTACCTTACAAGCACACGAACCTTGCCGGTGGGGTCCTTGGCAGGGGGGTACACGACCTCGGCTCCCAGAGCATCCGTGAGGAAGGTCATGTAGGCGGAGCAGTCACGGACGCTGACGAACGGGATGATCTTGCGCGCCAGCTCCTTGGGCACGTCCTCGATGGTGTTGGTGGAGTTTGACACCGACCAGATCTGACCGAAGGGGTCCTGGTAAACACCGAACCTTTTGTTGCATGTATTTGTATAGAGGGCACGAGCGTTACGTTTATGAGTGCAACAGGCTTGTGCTGCTGCTGAGTGAGCTAAATGTTGTCGTGGGTCGTGCAACCAAGAAAGTGAAGGGCGGGGGAGCTGTATCGAACCAGGGTTTTGAGAAAGAAAAAGGATGTATTCCTATCGGGGTAAAAGGGGCGCCAAAGGATGCGCGTGTGCGGGGCCAGCCAGCACTGCGACCGACCGACATTCTTCAACAATACCACCATGAGCGACAACCGTTCTCACCTCACGAGGAGCGATCAGAAGCATTCAATGAAACCCGCCCGGTGATTAAAACAGCATTAATCAAAACAGGGTCTGCTTTCGCTAAAGAGAAAAGTAGAACCGTGGCACAAAGACTTTTCTCTCTCGAAATTCGTTCAAATCCAACAACCCAGAACATCAAACAACAGAAACTGCTTTTCCCTTCAAGAGCGCAACCGAATCGTGGCACAAGCGCATCCCACTTCCATCAATAAGAGCACCAGCAACTCACGTGGCACCCCAGAACTGCTCGGCCATCTTGGTGAGCTCCTTGGCACCGTGCTCCACCAGCTTGGCACCAACGCCGGCTGGGTCATCGGTGTTGAGGTGCAGGCGGCCGTGAGGGGTGCTGATGGCGCCGGTGTCCATCTTGTTGCCGAGCTCCTCGACGTACAGCGCTACGCCGCCGATGTCTATGGCGAGGTGCATGATCTTGCCGTCCTCGTCGGGGAAGCGGAAGTACTCCTGACGAAGGACGGGAGAGCGGGTATGGGGGGGGGGAGGAGCGGCATCGGCGTGCAGGAGAGGGATCATGAACAACAGGTGCGCACGCAGCAAGGTTGGTTGAACGATTTGTATCCTTTCGATTCAACTGAAAACATGCGATGCGGCCTACTCACCTGCACCGGGAAACCGCGGTGACGGTGTGTATACGGTGCTGCTAAATACTGAAGTACGAGGTTCTACTCGGCCGCGAGAGAGCATCGCCACCGCCATCTGTCAGGCGCCAAGTCTATACAGCAGGCCGACTCAACTCTTTGTGATTTTCATTGACTGAGATGGCAACTGCCTGTCAATGCAGCAAGTCGGTTGATGTTCTTCGCATTGGGGAACAAATTTGTTGGCACAAGCCCGCCAAAAAGGGGGCAAAAAGACAACTTGAGCTGCCCACTGTCAATTTTGATCCCAAAGCCCGCGAAAACTTTTACCAACAGTGTTTGTGTACGGACGAGCTTTTCACACCTTGGCTTTGGCGGCTTTTCCCATGAAGTCGACAAACTTGTCCGCGCTCTCGACCATGACATCCACGATGATGCCCCTGCGAGTCGGAGGGTGCTGCAAAAGGTTTCGTGAGGGGGAGAGAGAGCGAGGGAGACGGACGTACAGACAAGGGATGGTTGCGGGAGGATGTCGTCATTTTCGCAAAGCAATCGAAATTATTGAATGTCTTGTACTGCTGTAGTATAACAGTCTGTGAGGGGCAGCCGGAGAAACGACACGCACGGGAGGGATGAATAAAAAAAGCGGTCATAAGCTACAATTTGTACCGCCGTGGGAGCATGCTCACGAAGGGACATGGCCGACGAGAGGGGAGGACCGTAGATGTGTTCATGTATTCGACTGCGGGTTTATTCGTGCGTGCGGGGGTGGCGGGGTCCACATTTTCGCTACACGCGAAACGACATCGAGGAGCGAGGTATGCAATGAGCGTCGACGTATTCGAGTCTAGTCTGTATGAGTGAGGCGTGGCGCGAGAAACAGCAGTAGCAACGGGGTGGGGGTGTTGTACCTAGCCGGTGGGAAAAAAGGGGAACAACCTTTTGGAGTTTATGGGCGACCATTGGCTGTCTGTGAATTGCTCGAGATACCGGTGTCTAACCAGATTGTTCGGGTAACGAAACGACGAAACGACGCAACACGGAACATGACGCCGTTCATCGACCTGGCTCTAACGACAGCCGTACACCACATTCCGGAGCGCATATTTTCTCTCTTGTGTCGGAGCTCAGGATGCTGGTGAAGACTCACCCCCCCCTGAACCACTCACAAAGGCATAGAAAAGGAAGGAAGTCAAACGGACATGTGTTGGTTGAACATGTAGTAATCGCAAAATCTTACCTTGCGGCCATCACAAGGGGAAGCCGGTGTGGCGGACCCTGTCGTTGCGCTCATGCTTTAGACTACTGCTGTCGGTTGTAGTTGACGGTAGAGGGGAGAGGGGAGTGCGAGGTTGAAGGCAAATGAGGAGGAGAGGGGAAGGAAATTGTGACAGAGGTGGGGGACTGTTCGAGGGAGAGCGAGTGGACAATGGCGGCAAGCTGCTCTCGAATTTGCGAGGGTCATTTGCTGGATTTGCGCGCGATTTAGCTGGCAAATTTGTCGACAGGAAGATGCGCCGCATTTTCTTTTTTCTGTCACAGGGAACAGGGAGCGAGATACCCACTCCATCATGGAACTCTTGTACCTCTCGTCCCTTTTGTAAAGTTGCCACTGGTGAACCGCCGGCATGGCGACTATGGCGAGCGCCAGGTTCCATGACCTACCGGAACCTACCCTGCAACTCTGGTGCAGCAGGCCCTCCTCGATTTTTTTGCTGTACGGCAGATACTTGTATAGACTGCATATAGTCTAGATGTAGGAACAATTTTGAATTTGAATTTTTTTACTTGATGAGAAGATACCCTAATGTAGATTGGCACGCGTGATCGATTTATCACCTCCACGACATGTATGCATACCAGCACGGTAATCAAGAGGTTGGCGGTTGATAGCAATACTTCCGGGCAAGAGTGATATCTCTTTCTACCTCTCTGTCTCTCTGTCTCCCTTCGTGTTGGGGTTTCGACAGGTGTAACCTGGTGCTGCGGTAGTCAGTTGGCACGTTTCGCGTTCGTTGTTGCGTTTCGTGAAATCTATTAGACTTCGATCGTCGCCACTGCTGCTTATCTCTCCTTGCAGGGAGTAAGTGGAGACAAGAATTCCTTCGAGATCGCTGCTGACTGTATATAGTCTACCTGCTATGGTCAGACTCCCTGCACCGTGGCCACCAAATGGGAGCGTTTGATCTCGGCTCGGATGCGGGTGTCGCAGAGCAGGAGAGACCGTTTCATCGCCCGTTTAGAGCATGTTTGGGTTTGCAGCAAATCTATGGGTGAGCTTTGGATCTTGATGGGACATCCTATTCGTAACCTCAGGCAGTCGAGCCTAGACCGCTGGAAAGTCAACGAGTAAGTGACTTTAGATCGTGAATTGTCATCAGTGTACAACCGGATAGTGTAGAGACAGAGCTAGCGACAATAGCCACCTCCACACAGCAGCGGGGCGCAGAATGTACATATATACCTCCGCGCGTGCTCCCAACTAACTAATGCGAAGCCGTCATTGCTGGATAGATCACACCACATCTTCCCTGGCTCTTCACACCGTGCAGTGTCGAAACAAAAAGAGAAGAGCAAAAGTGATCTCCTCCGATAGAAACTCCAACAACGAAGAAAATGGCTGCAACACTCGAAAAATATGTAACCTCCGAATAAAACGTGGCAGTCACGAAAGCTTACGCTTTTTTATATTTTCTGCGTGAAGTTCTGGCGTTAACCTGAGATTTTGTTTTTGAGTGAAGCGTTGGTACTTGATCGATTGAGAAGGTCCAATGTCAACCCGGAGCCGTCGAATGGCATGTTTCTTTGGTCATCACCTCAGGCGCTCTGACTACATACCTCCCTTTGAGCGGATACACCGATGACCGGGGGGAAAAGGGCGGGGGATGGTACGGCCATCTTTCATATTTACTTTTGGGTTGCACAAATTCGAGGCAGCGTTATCGAGCCGACAACCTGACGGACACAGCGACCGTGGTACGCATCCTCCATGAGAAACCCGGGGAATTTTTTGCTCAAATTTTCCGAGGCAAGACTCTCGAAAAGTTGACATTCACGAGGATTCCTGAGACATAAAAATCGTTGCGAGGGCACAAGTGACAATCCACAAGCATGTACCATCACGACGCGTATACAACGTAAAGTCAAGGACCACTTCTTTCGACCCAGGGGATGGTGCGTGGACTGTGGACTGCACCCCCTCCTAGAATACCCTGTACTGCTTCTGTTCCACACAACTCTCGAGATCACATCGCCCGTGAAGGTCACCCAAGTACGGTAAAACAACAAGTCGTTTCTATCCACGCACGTCACATGTAAAGGCAAAAACACAGCGCTATGAGGGTTTAGGTTCCCCCCTTTCCCTCCTGCATACAACCGTACCTCTACCCTCAGCATAACTCTCGAATCAAAATCGTATTCTCTTTTTATTTCTCTGAGACTTTTTCTCGGTCATGTGCACGCCTTTTCGCGTCACTGTCCTTGATTGAGTCTCTCGGGGCATATAGCCTCTGTCACACACGAGAACGATTTCGCTACCCCCCCCCCCCCCCCCCCCCCCCCCCCCCCCCCCCCCCCCCCCCCCCCCCC